AACACAGAGGAACTTAAATGTTTGGTAGAACATAGATCTTTGTTTATTTCATAGCTGATATTAAGAAACGAGTCTCTGCGTCTCAGTAGAGAGTTTTCATAACATGATGTTGGAGAGTCTCCACAAACGCTGCGTTTGTGTTCATTCTGTTTGTCCAGCTTTTGCTCTCCTACTTACAGCATTTTCACAAGTTGTAAAATGTATTTCCACGTGTCATTTTGGAGAAATCTGCAACAACGTAAACGCCAAGTATGAAACACCTCCACTGCCGGTGAGGGTGCGCGCTCCAGAGCGCGACCATAACTCAGCCTTAGAATCATATGGATGAAACCGTTCCGTTGGTCATGACTCTGCTTTGGGTGGACTGGACTGGCACAGCCCCGATCGGTCTGCCAGCTCCCTCTGGAAAGCTCCTGTGGAACCCCAGTTCAATCGCTGCTGCTGCATGTGCACGCGTGGCGCACGCGGCTACTCGCTGTGTCATGCTCCCAGAGCGCAGCAGTGCCAAATTAAAAAATGATTTTCCCTCAAAACGGCTGATGAGCCACTCATCATCAGAAAATTATATCTGTTTATAAATAAAAGCTCTGCGTGTTACACTATTTATTATATCCTCCAGTGAGGCTGAATCTGTTCCTGTTAAATGTATTTTTGGCACAACTTTGCACGTCCTTTATTTAACTGCGTCCATGTGGATGTAATAATTTTTAATCATGTGGATGTAATAATTTTTAATCATGTGGATGTAATAATTGTTAATCATGTGGATGTAATAATTGTTAATCATGTGTGTCTGCTGTGAACAATAATCATTTTCACATCTTGAACAGTTTCTCAGAATCACCTCTAAGTGTCGCCAGTGGAACCAAAACCACAGAAACGTGCGTACGCCAGCCCTGGAGTTGGCGTGGGGCTGCACACAATTCCACGTTCAGTTGAGTTTTGAAACATCTGGAGTTTTGCGTGGATAATGACGTATGCAAGGTTTTTGTGCGTACGAACCGTTGATACATGAGGCCCCTGCTCTGTGGGATTCTGCAACACCTCTTCAACCTTAGCTTGACCCAGGAGAAGGTGCCAGTGTTGTGGAAGACATCCTGTCTGGTTCCAGTTCCAAAGAAAACTCACCCATCAGCCCTCAATGACTATAGACCTGTTGCCCTGACTTCCCACATCATGAAGGTCCTAGAGAGACTCCTGTTGACCCACCTGAGTAAGCAAACAAGCACACATCAGGACCCCCTGCAGCTTATCGTCATGGAGTTTGAGTTGACGATGCCATCAGACACCTGCTTCAACAAACCCACTGTCATCTGGACAAAGCAGGCAACAC